TAAATGCTGGAATTTAAAAAAGAACCAAAAAGAATATTTCTTTCAAGAGTCTGATAAAAAAAACATTTTATGCAAAAAACATAGTTTGCAAATAGAAACAATGCAAAGTAATAAATTTGGAAATTTGGAAACTAAGCTAGAATGCAGGCTTCATTTACCTGTTTCCTTTTTTCTTAAAGCACATCACACTATGAAGAGGCCCAATGCAGTTCTAAGTTCCAAACATCTGGAAAATTGAAAATCTGGGTGACTCTCTCAAAAAAAATTGCACGATATGTTACTCACAATACGTAAGAAATTCTAAAACTTTATAAACCAGTAGCCGCCAACCTTTTGGACACCAAGGACCGGTTCTGTGGAGATAAGTTTTTCCGTGGTCCAGAGGGGATGTGGTTTTGCATGCTGCCTGCATCCTGTGGATGGGGCTTTGCTTATTTGCACAGACCAGTCTCTGGCATGCTGCAGACCAAGGATCCCACAGTAGTTTAATTAAGAGATGACAAGGGCATGAGTGACAGTCTTTGGTGCATCCTCTTCTAGCAACTTGCACACAAGTTACATCTATGCAAAAATCCAACCAAAGTCTCTCCCTGCTCTTCAAATTGGAAACCTAAGGCCAGGAGGACTGCCAGATTTCAGGACTATCCTTTCCACAGGAGTTCAATCCTATCAAAACTCAAAGACTGAGCAAGCCCAGAATCAATACGTTTCTGAATCAGGTATCCCTCCATCTTGTCTCGGTTGAATCTAATTTTTTACATTCAACCTCTGATAGCCTCCAGATATCAGGTCATGTCTTCTACTGACTCTCCCAATAGGCCCAGGTAGAGCTGTGTAACAAACATCCATATTGCACATAGGTATTGCATATTGATGATACAGTACTTCATCCCAAACTGATGGATTACTTTTCTCAACATTCCTAAAGTTACCCATTCCAAGATAGGATACAGAACTTAATCATGAGACATTCCATAAAAAACATATTCTGTAATTCTGTAACTGTTCTTGGAGCAAATTCTCACAATTACCAACATTTGGCCCCATTTGCAACACTCTGCCCCTATTTTTCAACCCCCACAAGCAATCCAGAAAGATTCTGTGGTTGATATTATCAAAAGCTGCTAAGGGATCTAGAATAGGCCTGTCAAACTGGCAGCCCGTGAGCCAGATACGTCACGTGCAGGCCACACCCACCCTGGCTCTGAAAAGGCAAAAAATATCATGATACGTCACAATTTGGCCTGTGACACAATTGAGTTTGACACCATGACCAGGTCCGAACCCAATTGCCAGGGGTATAGATTATCTGTATTCTCCAGAACCCTTGATGGTTGTAGCCCCATCATTTTTTCAATAACCTTCCCCAGGAATAAATAATTAGAAGGCAGTAGTTGCCCAATTTTATTCAATCAGGTTTCCTGAGAAGCAGGTGAAGCCATGTACCAGCCTCTACCACCTCCCATTTCCTCAAAGAAGCACTGACTATATCCTGCATCACTAGCCAGATAGGGCAAGGATCTGATCTACAGCTGGCTGAGTTAAAATTGCAGAGGACTGTATCCATTTCCTTTGAATCTGCAGGATTAAAAAAAATCTGTCCTTTCTATAGATTCTGCTCATTCAGCAGAGGTAAAATTATGCTTCATTGTCTTTATCATTATCCGAGTAAACTCAAAGCTAAGCTTTAACTCATGTCTGGTCACATTTGCCTCTTATTTTATCCCAAGCATTGTTTCAGGCATTTCTTCAGCCATTTCATTTCCTCACTGAATCATTAGGCTACATAGAATTGGTAGGCAAGGAAAGGCTGCTTAAGCTTATCAAATGCCCTAGCTAGCACTTCTGTGTTCCAGAGATCAACAAGGTAGCCAAAAGAGTCCTGACCAAAAGCAAAAATGTCATTAGATAAACCTGCTGTGTCCATCAGATATCTGGGAAAAATAAGCCCCTCTTCCCAGGCAGGTCTAGTTAACCTTAAAAGATCACAAGAGCATGATCTGCCATAAAAATAAACTGATGTATGTAAAAGCCTCCCCACAAAGGAAATCACAACACATCTGCTCCAAGATGAATATGGTCTTTCATGTATGTTAGTTAGGCCACTGATGGGGATTATGGGACCATGATTGTCATGACAGCCATGACAATCACCCTAGGCTGCCTCTGATTTCAGATAGGGAAGATTGAAATCATCCAGTACAGGTAGTCCTCAACTTACTATCACAATTGAGCCTGAAATTTCTGTTGTTAAGTGAGACATTTGTTAAATGAGTTTTGAACCATTTTACAATTTTTCTTGCCCTAGTTAAGTGAATCACCGCAGTTGATAAGATAGTAACCCAGCTGTTAAATGAATCTGGCTTCCCCATTGACTTTGCTGGTCAGAAGGTCGCAAAAGGGGATCACATGACCTTGGGACGCAGCAATCATCATAAATATGAACCAGTTGCCAAGTGTCTGGATTTTGATCACATGACCCTGGGGTCATAAGTGGTAAGTGGGGTCATAAGTGTGAAAAATGGTCATAAATCCCTTTTTTCAGTGCCGTTGTAACTTTGAAAAGTGACAAAACGAATTGTTCTAAATCGAGGACCACCTGTACTAGCAGTCTAGGCCACAACACCCCCACCATGAGATCAAGCAGCTTGATAAAAGCATTTGGAAGGATGTTAGGATTGCCATCCCTAGCCTGTTCCTTTGGCCCCAAGTATTGAGTGTGTATTTATTGGAACTAATAAAAGAAAATTTTAAATAAAAAACCCAAATATTAGGACTTTTGACATCTCTATTTGTTCTGAGGCACATGGCATAATTAATGTTACCCACACATATGTATTAAACTGTTAGGAAAATATTAATGGCCAAATTTCAAATGACAGGAAGAGTGGAATTATTTTAAATATAGGACACTCCTATATTTGTTCATTCTTTTCATTTTGTTCCTCAGTCGTGGAGGTCAGGGGAAGAATGTCAAAATCAGAGATTTAAGGGAGCAATGTAACAGTGATTTCATGTGTGTGGGTGCACGTGTGCATTCATAAACATTTTTAAGCAATCCAGAGAGCAAAATGTTTTTTAAACAAGTAACGTAATCAGATTATACAGTAATCTTTTAAAGTTTTATGAATATACCACACTTAGGCCCACCACCATTTTGCATGGCAACCGTCTCCAACCGCCACACTAGCCGTTATATCAGACAGCGGACTCCTGAGCGACGCAGCTATTTGACCAATAGGAATGAAAGGCGGGCTTTCATAGGACCAATAGCACCCCGATCGCTCAGGCCTTGATAAGGACTATTCTAGAATGAAGGCGGCTGTGACGTCTCTAGGCCCGCCCCTCGTTTCGTCAGACCTGGGTCGAGTCAGGCGGGAGCGTGCGTACACTCGCTCCTTTCTTTTTTTCTCCTCCAGAAGTAGCTGGGAGCGATGGCGGTGAAGGCGCTCAACCCCAAAGCTGAGGTAGCACGGGCCCAAGCAGCCCTGGCGGTGAATATCAGCGCGGCGCGGGGCCTCCAAGATGTGCTCAGGACAAATCTTGGGCCCAAAGGAACTATGAAAATGTAAGGCGGGCCGGGGGGAGGGGGGGGCTCGTAGGAACTGAGGGTTGGGGGAGAGGCGTGGCCACGCTTAGCCCCACCCACCCACATGGCGCTCGAGGCCGGAAGCGGCGTGGTGAATGCGTGCGCAAAATAGCCTGGAAGATCCCGAAACACACATAAAGGATATGCTCCTTTATACGTAGCTTTTCTTCAACTTTGTCAATGAAAATTTATTTTATAAAAATTGAAAGGATCAGGCAGTACCAGTAGTGGCATCTATTTAAAAAACAAACAAATAGACGCAGAGAGAGAGTGAATATGTCTTTTACAGGGCGTGCAATTAGTTAAAAAGCATTGGGCAGTATGATAAACTTCCAGACCGGTGTCGATCAGCATTTATATTTTCTGCCTCAGTCGATTTAGAGTGATTACAAATAAGGCTTACTTCATTTTATGTCTACGCAATTAATTAGGACTCTTTATTCAATCTTGCCTTTTGTACTGGAGTTCGAGGTCATGGGTAGCCCGCCCTCCTCCTGTTTGTCCCCACGGTAGCCAACCCTTGAGATAGAGTGGACTTAGACCACAAGTGGTTCAAAATCACCCATGAGCTTCTGTGGCTGGAAGTGGACCTGGGACCTGTATTTTATTAGTCCAACTCCTTAATCCCACTGGCTCTCTAAATTAGGCTTTGAGCATAAAATTGTCCCCCCCAATTCGTTTTGTACAAGAATTTGAAACCTACTGATAGAATACAACTGTCTTACCTGGGTGTGCGGGTTACAGCTTCTGCTCCTCGTTCACAATTACAGGTGGATAACTGTTAGCATGTACTTGGCTTAATTATCAATGCTTGGTGTCAGCTGAATGAAAGCATGGCAGGTTTGATTGGCCAGATCTTAGTCTGAGGCACTGTCATAGTTTTATAATTGCATCTCTCCCAAAATTAGCTCTCTTACACAACTCCAAAATACTGAAGTTGTTATGCCGTCTCTATCTGGTTGCTGTAACTTGCTGGAGGAGGAGATAGCATTAGAAGAATATTCCTTTGATTAATAGGATAATCAGTTCCAGAATTGAAAATGGAAAAGATCTTTGGTGGTGATGGTGCCTGTTTAACATTTTTGTTACATACGTTTTTCTTTCACACTGATTATTTTATTGGCCAACTACTTTTGCTAAGTCCCCATCTTCTTTTTTCTTTAAAGAGAAAGTCAGGACTATGGGATGCATGCCAAAAAATCAGAAGATTCTCCACATTGGGGTGGCAATGTAGGTTCTTTTTACAAGTAGTCCTCAACTTATTACCACAATTAACCACAAAATTTATTTGTGGTGGTTAAGTGAGACATTTTTGTGATTTTTCTTGCTACAATTATTAAGTGAAACACTGCAGTTGTTAAATTAGAAACCCAGTTGTTAAATGAATCTGGCTTCCCCATTGACTTTGCTTGTCAGAAGGTTGCAAAAGTTGATCACATGACCCTGGGACGCTGCAAACGTCATAAATATAAGTCATTTGCCAAGCATCTGAATTTTGATTACATGACTATGGGGACGCTGCAACGGTCGTGTGAAAAACTGTCATAAGTCACTTTTTTCAGTACCATTGTAGCTTTCAATAATCACTAAACAAACTGTTGTAAGTTGATGACTACCTGTAATGATATCCTTCATTTCAAATTATCATGGTCTAGTTAAGATATATACTTATTAATAGGTCTTTCCTTAATGATAGTTATGATGTGCCCAAAAAAGGAAACATAATTTGCTTTGAAATGTCATTTTCCTTTTGCAAAACTATTGAATCATTGGTACTACGACACAATAAAGATAGTGATATTAGTAAATTAAATTTGTCAAGTCCTTTTGCCCACTTGGAAAAGGAACTGGGATTGTGGTCTAAAGCTTTGCTTTTTGTTTTCCATAGGCTTGTGTCTGGTGCTGGTGATATCAAGCTTACCAAAGATGGCAATGTCCTGCTTCATGAGATGGTAAGCTTTCCCTTTCCTTCCTAGAACATAATATCAAGTTATACAATACCTTCTAGAACTTATTTTTACATATAGAAAAGAAGCATGTTGCTGGATCTTACTATAGGTGAACATTATTGGTGATACAAGGCCAAACGTTTTACTGTAAATGTTATGTCAAAATTACCGGTGATTTTATATTTTATTAAACACAAAATGCTGTGTTTTGCTCAAATTGTGCAACAATAGTCTTGAAGGATCTGTCGGTCAAAGCATAAGCTTCTCTGCTTTTATGGATCAAAGATTGGAATATATATATTGCTGGTGTTACTGTGGATTGTTTCTTCAAGTGGTTAAATTGATAACAAAGCATAATAGTAAAAGGACGAGGAATGTATTCATTTTTTATTTGATTTCTATGGCCACCCATCTCAACGAATGACTCTAGGTGGTATACATCATAAAGCATAAAAAGAAACATGGTACATATGGTTGTTGAGTGGAACTATTGCCATGGGTCGTAATATAGTTAAGAAACACCTTAACACATTTGTGATCTCAGGTACATAACCAAGTATTCACGGCCTTACGAATGGCCGACAGGTATCTTGATCTATGAAGGGAGAATGTTCCAGAGGGCAGAGGCTAAGACAGAGACATGACATTCCCTGGCTGGTGAGTCCTGTAACATGCCCAACCTAACCTGCTGCATCAAATTGGATAGGTAGAAATGACTAGGGAAGGACAGTCCCTTAGTTAGCTTGGTGTCAAGCCATGAAGGCTTTTAAATACGATAATCAGCACCTTGAATTGCATCCAGAAGCACACTGGCAACAGTGCAACTCACATAGCAATACTGTATTATTATATCAGTTGAAAATCTGACACCCTTTACTTAACTACTTTTATTTGCTTTCTATGGCCACCGATCTCAACAAGTGACTCTTGAGTGGTATACATCATAAAGCATAAACACAAATAAAAGCTTTGAGTTTTTGAATGTACTTCATGGGTAATCCCATATAGAACATATTGCAGTAATCCAGACGAGGTCATGGGTGACTAAGCAAAGGAATGGCATTTTGATGATACTCTTTTTGTTCTCTTTGCATCCATCAGCAAATCCAACATCCAACAGCTTCCTTGATAGCCAAAGTAGCAACAGCACAAGATGACATCACTGGTGATGGGACTACTTCTAATGTCCTTATAATTGGTGAGCTGCTCAAGCAGGCAGATCTCTATATTTCAGAGGTATGTAATCTGCATGAGAACACCTTCAATTTGCTTTCAGATTTAAATAAAGCTGAGTGAGAAATTATTGTTGTTGCTACTAAAACAAGACTCTTAGTTGCTCCATCCCTATTTTGCTAAATCAAAGTGAATATCCATAAACTAGATTAAAATTTCAATCTTTTGAACTTTTTTAACAAATTAATTTTATTTTTCCTGCGACTCTGAACTTTTATTTATTCAGATTAGGGGTGGTGTATAATTGAGTTTTGACCACGGTATGTGAGAAATTTCTGAGTGCACAGTGAACATCCAAATGAGCTCCATAGTTCCTTTGGCATAATTCTGTGCAAGAATAAACTGTACTTTACCCTCTGCATTGAAAGGACTGTTTTTCCTTTTATATGTATTCAAAAGGACAGTACAAAATGTCTTCATGTGCAGCCTCAGATCATCTAGAAAAGTTAAAATAGTTTTTCCTGAAAATACTTGATTGAATCTATTGTTGGGTAGGCAGATTTTTCATTGTTTTCTTTTCTCTCAAACTTTATCATTAATAATAATGTCATAATAATGTCATAATATGCCATTCAACTCGCAGGGACTGGACAGTAGGTTTAAAGTATGTATGCATGCTTTATAAAAAGAAATCGCTTGTGGAAACTGATCCCTTGATTTTTGCCTATAACCAATGTATGGAATTTTATATGTGCATGGTTTTTTTAAAAAAACGCGTTTGTTTGGTATTAGGGGTTACATCCTCGATTAATTACAGAAGGATTTGAAGTTGCAAAAGAAAAAGCTCTTCAGGTTCTGGAGCAGGTCAAAGTAGCAAAGGAAATGGACAGAGAAATACTCCTAGATGTTGCTAGAACTTCTCTCCGCACAAAGGTCCATGCTGAGCTTGCTGACATCTTAACTGAGGTGAGTTTCATTGATTTATGTTCTCCAAAAATATATTCTATATAATTCCCATATTAAAAGTGAAGTGGATTCCTGGAGGAGGGATAGTTGAGTTGCTAAATTCTGGAGTCCTGTTTGATGAGGCTTGTTCTCTTTTCTTTGAAGGCTGTAGTCGATTCGATTCTGGCAATCAGAAAACCAAACGAGCCAATAGATCTTTATATGGTTGAAATAATGGAGATGAAGCACAAATCTGAAACAGACACAAGGTAGGTATAAGATAAATGGGCTCTGTTCCCAAAGCCTTGAAATGTATCAGTCTTACATTTCCCTTCTGGCAGAATCCTCACTGTCCCACATCATTCTCTCTTAGCTTTTCCTAAATTGGTATTTTCCAGATATTGGATCTTGTGGAATTCTGTGCCAGCATGACAGAGAATTGTGGGAGTTACTATTCAACACTGTGGGCCTTAGAATGGAAGATACACTGCTGTTTTAGCTTTATAATGTCTGATGAATAAAGATACATAGTTATACATAGAACTGTTAAAGGGATTGAAGCCGAAGTTTCATAAGTTTGAAGTACTTATAACCGAAGGCATGGATGAATTCTGCATTGGCTTTTGCAATGGCTAATGGAGTCAGACACCATGCAAGAATAAAATTTGCCTCAGATTTATCTAGTGACATGCTGTACTAAAGCAGAATGCTTGGATCTGAAATGGATACACGACAAAGTTGTTCCTAGGAGTCCTATTTTTAGCAGAAATGCATGAGATTACAAGGAGTAAACAATTGAAACTAATTTCTTAAAAAGCTGTTTTAAATATCTTTACAGCCTAATAAAAGGACTTGTCCTAGACCATGGCGCTCGTCATCCTGACATGAAGAAGAGGGTTGAAGATGCTTACATCCTTATTTGCAATGTGTCACTAGAATATGAAAAAACGTATGTATACATTAGGACTTACAGCTCTAATTGGGACTTGCAAACTGAACTAGTTTAATCCTACATTTGTGGAGTTTAGTGTTTGGTTTATAGGATCTTCTTGGTTGAAACCCACTATTTGTTGTGTCAATTGCTTCCGACTGTCCTTACCGTCACTTATATGTTTATTGGGATTGAAAGCAAATCAGCCAGATCTGTTTAGTACTTGAGTGGGAGACATCACATAATATATTAGATTTGGGAGATGAAAAAATCCTGGAAGGTGACAGTGGAAAACTATTTCTGTATAGTTGCCAAGAAAACTGCCTGGGTTTTGTCCATGTAATTACTGAGAGTTAAGTTTGACCCAATGACTAGGATACTTTTTATGATTTCCTGGTAACTTAAATTCTGACAGCATTTTTTTTCCTCAGAGAGGTGACCTCTGGATTCTTTTATAAGAGTGCAGAAGAAAGAGAAAAGCTTGTCAAAGCAGAAAGAAAGTTCATTGAAGAAAGAGTGAATAAAATCATAGAGTTGAAAAACTCAGTTGTTGGGGATTCAAATAAAGGTTTTATTGTCATCAACCAAAAGGTAAGTGAAGGGCTTGGTATTGATTGAGATGGTTGCCTAAGAAATGGGTCTATAACACAAAATGGACCAAATATAATGAAACATTGTTTTACCTGCCTCCTATTTAGCAGAGTTTAGATGTATTGGACAAAATTTGCATCCAGATTTTTTTGGTCCATTTTATCAGAAATTGGCAATTTGTGCAAATGCCATATGTGAAAATGTGTTACTTGTGTAAATGATCCAGAGTCTCAGATGACATTCTTTAATGCAAATAACATAAACTGATAATAAATTCAGCATTAATAGGCATTTGGCTACCAGTGGTCCATTAAATCATAGTATAGCCTTTATTGTCATTGTACAAAATAAATGCAATGTAATTGGTTAAATCATATTGTAGCATGCTTTCTTTAATTTTTTAGTATGAGCTTTATTTAAACCTGAGTAGATCTGCTTATTGCATGGTGTTTTGTATTTTCAGG